TGACACATTCTCCAGGCGCCGTTTGATTTTTTGACTAAAACCGAATTTGCCAGCCAAATTGGGTAGGTGACTTCCTGGATGAAGCCGATGGTCCTCAGTTTGTCTACTTCGAGCCTCATTACTTCATACCGTTCGGCATCGTGGGCCCTCCGTTTCTGCCTGATGGGTTTGAAAGTGGGGCAGATGCTGAGCTTGTGGCTGATGACGCTCGGGGCGATACCTGGCATATCTTCGTATGACCAGGCAAAGACTTCTGCGTTGGTGCGCAGGAAGGTGATAAAATCGGCCCTCAGTGCCGAACTCAAGGTGGTACCGATTCGAACTTGTCTGTCCGGTTGTGCTTTGGAGAGGGTGACGGATTCTAAATCTTCGGCGGGTTCCGCTTGTGGGGTTACGGCCTCATCTCGGGGGTCATCTGGTTTGTCCGTTCCCCTGCTGTTCGGTATGCCCAAGCTTGTGGCGACCGAGTATGTTTCGCGAAGCGCAGCCCTTGCCGATTCCCTGGTTGCCGAAACGTAACACGTCCGTGCACTCAATTGGTCCCCTCGCACTTGGCCGACGCCAGCGTGTGTGGGGAACTTGAGGAGGAGCATGTGGGGTGACAGCATGGCCTTCATTTTCGTGAGCGCCGTTCTGCCGATGATAGCGTTGTATGCCGTTGGGCAGTCGACCACTAGAAAATGAGTGTAGAGTACCGTTCGTCTGGGGATGGTACCGACGGCGAACGGGAGCTGGACACTGCCGATCGGTTCAACCACGTCGCCAGAGAAGCTCAGGAGATGGGTGATATCTTTGTTCAGATGCCGAGGGCGTTGAAAGCATCGGCGAATAGCACATTGACTGAACTGCCGGTGTCTATGAGGATTCGGCCTACGTTGAAATCTGAGATATCGGCCCGGATGATCATGGGATCGGAGTGGGGGAAGATGATGCCTCGCTCATCTTCTTCAGAAAAGGTGATAGGTTCCCAACCGTTTCGTTCAATTTTGTCATTGCGTTCTCCCGCCACGCTGAGGATCTGTGGATGCCGAACGACACGAACGTATTTTTTGACGGATCGGTTGCTGGCTTCGGCAATGGGCGCTCCTCCACTGATCATATTGATCTGCCGATTCAGTGATTTATCCGTTGCTGGCTTGGTGTTTAAATACTGGTCCAGCTTTCCGTCGTTGATGAGGCGTTCGACAATTTTGCGAAGCGCGATGCATGACTCCGTATCGTGGCCGTTGTACTGGTGGTACCGACAGAAGACACCGGTGTCTTTTTCGCTCTGGCGAGGGAGTTTTCGATTGTTCGGCTTTGGTATCATATCCCCTTCGGTCAAGAGAACATGCTCATAGGTAGTGTTGAGCAAAGTGAAGATTTCTTCTGGCCGATTCCCCTTGTGGTTGCCCTTCTTGTTGTTGTCCTGCCGTTCCCGGAAGTTGTCCTTCCGCTTGTTTCGCTGAGTGGAAAAAGCAGGGACAGGGGGTGCCGTTCGGTAGGGGGCCTGGTTTGCCGATCGGTCGACCGGAAATCGGTCGTTGTTCTGCGTTGGGGGCTGATCGGTCAACGCCGTTTTGTTTATTGGGGTCGAAGCCGATCCCTTGGAGTTGAAATGCTCAGCCTTGGCGTGGATAGCCGACTGTTTCATTAATTCGGAGTAGGTGGTCCAGTTGCTGTTGTGGACCAAATAACGAAACTGAGACGACCGAAGGCCGCTTTTGAAGGCGCCAAACGCTGCCTTGTCGTCAGTTTCTGGGCATCGGGAATACTCGTGGCTGAACCTAGCCGCATATTCTCTCAATGGGTCATCGTCCTGCTGCCGAACGGTATAGAGGTCATCGGCGGAATACAGGCGATCGGTCTGAATCATAAAATGGTTGAGAAAGGTTTGCTTCAACTGATTAAAGGTGTCAACCGTATCTGGCTCCATTCGATAGAACCAATTCAGTGCTGCTCCGGTCAGGGTGGAAGGGGATAGCAAACATTGGCCCTCATCCGTCAGTCCTTTGCAACCCAAAGCTGATTGGAAGGTATGAATGTGGGTAACGGGATCTTCCACCCCCGAATAGAACGACATGCGGAGTGCTTGGACCTCCTTCTCGTGTCTGAATGTCCGGATTCGATTGGTGAACGGCCCTGGGTGTACCGTTCCCCATGTCGGCGTCCGAGCCTGGTCCTGTTCCTTCTCAATGCGATTCATCTTCTGTAGAAGGAGACGAATAGTCGGATCGGTAGAGGGAAGATCATCACCGAAGGGCTCGATCGCTCGGTTCCCCGCGCGTTGGTTAGCGTTGTGAACTCGCCTTCCTTGGTCTGCCGTTCGGCTGGGGCTTCCCTCGTGATTTCCTCTTCGCCGATCGTTGTCCTGGTTCAATTGGTAGCTGTGGCGTTGTGCAGAGGGCCTTGCCGATGTGATTGTAGTTCCTGGAGACGTCGGGACATAGTCTGATTCGTCCGTTTCTTCCAGGCCGATCGCGCTGTACCTCTGGCGCAGCGGGGATTTTGGTCCAAGTACCTCCAGGCGCGGATCGTCGAGCTTCGCCCGGACCTGGATGGGCGAGGACTGCCGTTCCCTCCGCCGATCGTTGATCCTTTCGCGGCAATCAGAATAAACGCGATATTCGGGATGGCGCTCCTTTGGAGTGGGCACGAACAGTCTTCGGGAGACAGCCGGTCCGTTCGCGGCCTGCTGCTTCCCTCTATCCTGGAAAGTGGGCTTTCGTACGCTTTTAAACGATTTCTCTT